TCTCACATTCTCTAACATTCGGATGTAGGTTGCCAAATGTCTTTACTGCTGTTTCTTCTTCTCATTATTTGTCCCCTGGGTTCCTAGTGGAACATAGGGCTTCAGTAGCACGCATCCATTCCACTCTGTTCTCTGCAGTCTTCTTAACCTGGCTTCACCACTGCCTACAAGCTTTCATTTCCTCCTCACATGATCCCTTTCATGTCACCCTCAGCGCTGGGACGCCCAACTCGTCGTTTCCCCTTTGAGTTCCACTCGAAGGCCTGACGCGTGATGTCCCCGATCGGTCTTCTCAGTGTATGCTCAATCCATCTCCACTTTCTTCTGCATGTTCGTTGGGTGATGGGTTCTTTCTTCGTTGGTCCATTGCCAGCCAGCCAGAGTTCCTTGTTGCTTATCCTTATTATTCTGGCCATCTGATCTTCAGTATCGAGTGAGCGTAGGCAGCAACTGTTGATGAATGTCTGTAGTTTGTTGGAAGTGCTTTTCGTAACGCCCCGAGTTTCGGAACCATCACATAGAAGCACTGACTTGACGTTGGCGTTGAAAATCCCGATCTTGTTCTTTATGCTGAGTGGAGTCCAGTCGGTCCCCACACTGATTTCACACTAGTGAAGGCCTATCTTGGTTTTCCGATCCTCGCTTTGACATCCTCATCTGTGCCACCGCCACCGGCTGTGGTTGAAACAATGCTACCTAGGTAGGTGAAAGAAACTACTTCCTTTAGGTTTCTCCCGTTCATGGTGATTGGTGCTTGCTGTTGTCATTGTTGTCGTTGGTCGGGTATCCTCATCACCTCTGTCTTCTCTACGTTCACGTGAAGGAAGTCCCGTCTTCGCTGCCTCATCTCTTCTGCCAACTTGTTGGCTTTTGCCTGTAGATCTTCGAGTTTGCGCGACAAGACATTAAACACAAATCATCATCGGCGAAATCCAAATCTTCTTCTGGGGTCTTTTCATCGGTCCAGCCAGCATATTACCCATCTTCTCGTTCGTCACAGTTTGCTGGATGATCCAGTCCAACACAATCAAGAAGATCATCGACGATGGTAGGCGGCAGTCTTGTCTTACTCCTGTCTTCACTTCACTTCACTTCACTTCAAAGGCGTCACTGAGCATTCAAATGTGAATCACTTGTCATATGGTGTCGTCATATAGTTGTTGAATGAGGTTGACAAAGGTTTGTGGCACTAAAACCGTAGTGTTGAAGCAGCTGTCTGCCAAATTACTTCTCTGTCGATGCTGTCGAAGGCCTTTTCAAAGTCGAAGAAGTTGAGGTAGAGAGTTGACTGCCATTCCATACTCTGTTCTGTGATGATGCGTAGCATAGCGTTGCAATTCGATCCACACATGATTTGTTCTTTGTGAGGCCAGCCAGCCTGTTCTGGTCGTAATTTTGAATCCAGATCATTTTTTAGTCTCTCCAGGATGATGCGGCCTAATGTTTTGTCTGGGGTGGACAGGAGCATGATTCCTCGCCAGTTCCTGCAAAAGCTTAGGTCTCCCTTCCTTGGGAGTTTGACAAGATAGCCCTTCTTCCAATCGAAAGGTAACTTTCCTTCCTTCCTTCCTTACAAACCTTCTGCAGTAGTGGTGTGAGCATGTCTGCTGCTGTTGTCTCTGCGTCTGTTTTCAGTGCTTCTGGTGGAATTCCATCTGGTCCTGCTGCTTTCGAGGATTTCAGCGACTCTATGGCGTTCAGGATTTAGACTTTTGTCGGAGGACTTGTGTTCAGTGGTAATTCTGTGACTGGGTTGCTGGTGGTATTTCTGGACGAGTTGCAGGTGTTGGTGGTCGATTCAAGAGCTTTTTGAAGTGGTCAGCCCATTGGTTCCTTTGTTTCTCCTCTTTGGTAACTAGCCTTCCTCCACTATCTCTCATTGGCTTCATCTGCATTGATCTCTTCTCAGATAGTCAGTCACCTGGTTATTTGATATCATGTTGTCTGGTCTCAGTCTCTCCCACCAGCAGCCTGTTCTGCTTCACTTGCAAGTGTGTCGTAGAAGTGTCTTTTGTCTCTTCGTGCACTCTTCTTTACTTTTTTGTCCAGTGTTTTATAGGTTGTGTTCAGGTCCTCTTTTCTTTGTTCATCCTTGCACTGGTTCATCCTCTGCTTCATTCACCATCTCTCTCTCCCTCCCTTATCAAATTCCATGTGTCCGTCGAGATCCATTCTATTCCTTGTTTTGTTTCCTCTTCCTTCCTTCCTTCCACATCTCTTTCAAAGAGTTCCAGTGTTCTCCCACGCAGGTTTCTTCAGGAATGCTGCTCAATGTCTCCCATTTTGTCCTGATGGCTGACTGACGTGAAGATGCCCTTTGAAGCTTCGTCCTTCAGTTCACTTTCTGTTCTGGGTGTTGAACTTGAACTGTGGTCTATCACCAACTTCTGTGAAGGCTTTCAACTTTATTTTGAATGTTCCTTGCACTAGATAGTGAGTAGCTTGAACCTACATCTGCTCCCCTTCTTGACCTTATGTCCAGTGGGCTGCATCTCCACCTTCTTGAGATTGAGATGAATTCGATCTGATTTTTAGTGTGTAGTGTATCCATCTGGTGAAATCAAATCCATTTCGCTGCCTTGTGAATATCCTTGTGTTTGTACACACTGCCTGACTCCAATCATCAAGTCCTTGAATGCTCAGAAATCTGCAAACAGTTCTCCATTCTCACTTATTTCATCGAGTCCTTCTCGACCCATGATGAGTTCTCTTGTTGTGTTATCCGCTCCCATTTTGGCATTCATGTCACTGCACCCATTAGAATTTTGATGTCGTCATCGCCAACTGGGGTGGAGTCTTGTCCAGTACTGATTGCAGTTGTCTGTAGAACTCTTCCTTCTTGTCTTGATCTGCATTATTTGTAGGTGCGTAGTGTAGCATTGTATGATTGTGACTTTCCTTCCTTTTAAGTTGAATCTTACTGTCATGTTCCTGATCGTGGAGGAGATTGGTTCCCACTGCATGAGAGAGAGCCTTTGATGCTGTTGGGGACATCATGATAGCCACTCCAAAACTCAGTGTTCTCGTGGTTGTCGTCTTAGTGACAATATCGGAGTAGATTATTGATTCTCCAGTTGACGGTTTCGAGAGTTCACTTCCATTACATCTGCTTTCACAGACTCCTCACACTTCTACGCCATACCTTCTCATCTCGTTTGCAATCTGGGCAGCCTTGGTAGCTTCAAACATTGTTTGGACATCTTATCTCCCCATTCTTACTTTTGCTTTCATCGAGAGAAGACACATCGGCTAATTGGCTTCCTGAAGGCTTTCGCCAACCGGAGTAATTTCGTCTCCTGGATTGCAGTGAGGAGTAAGTTGTTTTTTCATATTTTATACTTACTTTGTGCTTCGAAGTTTCCTTAGCGATTGGATTTGTTTTAGGTGGTAGGATTGCTAGCCCTATGCCCAACCTTCCCTCATTATCCGGACTTGGGACCGGCCAGTAGCTAGTGAACTGGTTAACTAGGTGAGGTATATATATATATATATATATATATATATATATATATATATATATATATATATATATATATATATATATATATATATATACAGCTTTTCAAATTCTACGCTGTTTGCCTACTGTTTTCGTGCGTTTTGTTGGCGCCTGTCGATTTGGATGAGATTTGCTGCGTTCTCGTAAGGCAGAGGTGATATCCATTTTCATATTCATGTTCACATCAGAATTTATTTGGAACAATTATCATCGCACACATAAGGCTTTCAAAAGATTTATTCAGTAAAATAACATTAAAGTAGTCATTTCTTCAGATCAAGTGAAAAATAATTAGTAGCTTACTTGACCTCATCTCTAATTCCCATACGTTTTCCTGTCTAAACTTGCCTGAAATCTATATTATTAGTGGGTAGTGGCTACCAGGGAAATCAAGGACGCACGTTCTGTCCCATTCGGGACTCATTAGCTGTATGTTTCATCACTGGAGAGTGAGGGATGTTGTCGCCGTTAGGACTAGAAATTGGGACTGACAGCTTCAAACGCCACAGTGTTATCTTCTGAGTCACGATAGCTGCTTTCGGTGCGACAGGTATTCAAGCAACAACATTGCCTGAAATCTGTCTAGAAAAGCTTAGAACTTTTGGGTAAACACATTCACACAATTCGACAGCTTATTTGAATTTCATCGACATAGGTTTTTAGCTTCAATCAGGCTATAATCTGTGAAGCTGTCGAAGTGATTCCACGGATTCCTACAGCTAATGAGTCACGTTAGGTCCTGAATATCAATGAAAAGGAAGCAGAGCACTACATGCAGTAGACTAGTGGAGGACACTTTGATAACACTTAAACTGACAGGTGTTTTCACTTGAGTTTCAGTGGAATGTATATACATCATGGTGGGAAGTACTGAATAAGGAGAAACTTGTGCCCAAGACTTTCACGTGAAATGTCATCGAAATAGGAAGAAGTATTTTTGAAGTAGCCGTATGGCATAAAGCCTTATGAGTGACTAATACGACAAAATACTTGGTATACAACTATTTTACAAAAAATTAATAAACTCTCATCAACGTTTTCATGGTCTAAATTGAGAAAGATTAAAGTTCTTCACTATTTTATCATTTACACAAAATACACAAATTGAATCACTTTTTTGCATCAGGAGGAATGATCATTTATATATAATTCCACAGAAAAAGAAAAACAAGCGATGTTCAATTCTTAATCTATAGAAAAATCAGTTTGTATTATATGGGTAAATGCGGGGATTTCGATGATCTTTTTCTCAGTTTACTGTACACTTATTTATATCTTATGTAAATATGCATCTAAAAACCTTTGGTACAAACACAAGATGATATTCACAAGTATAAACAAGCGGATTGTATAACATACAGGTAAATATTGAATTCAATACTGAACTAAATAATCAACGATACAAAAACTGTAACGAATGAAGAGTTTAAACGGTAGACAATACACTATAAGACGGTGCGAATATGCATTATAATAATTTATCACTGACAGTTCTCTGTACTTAGTCAATGTCTTCTTTGACTTTCTCTGCTTCCTCCAACTCTGCAAGCTTGCCTAATAAAGTTTTAACGCGATCCAGTACGATCATATTTCTACCAGTACAACAACTCACATGATATGGTGGTTTAATGGAAGCCATATTGTATATAACTATTTCACCTTCATCAGTAACCGTTAAATCTTTCAAATGATTAATGGTGAAAAGTTGGATAATTTTTTCGCGTCTACGCTCCAATTCCTCTGGCGTTATTGTTACCGGTGATAGATTCACTTTCTTTCCTGATATACTGTCCAGTGTACTTTCTGTTGTAGCTGTTAGCATTTTTGTTGAAACTTCTTCCTTTTTACTTGACAAATACTCCCCATCAAACGTAGAAGGCAATAAAGAGTCGAAAATATTCTTTATCGTCAATGGGATTTCACCGTCCAGAATCTGAAATAAGCGATAACCAGAAAATGAATATATTCAGTATCAGGTAGGATCCAATTGGAGAAAAGAAATTACGAAATTCGGGTATGTACGTATTTTAGTATACAACAAAGAGCTGATTGCAGTTGAAAGAAAAACTTGAGCCATACTGGGTTTCAAACCGACAGTCTCTGCATCTGTTGGCTGCCTCAGTTCAACCTCAGTTGCTTAATATTTCACCTTGATGTCTCATGAATGAGTGAAAAGTAAATGTCTGTTTATCACACATACAAACTGGTTGTTCAATCAGGTCTTGTTTAATTGACTAAAATCTAAATAAGCCAGGAAAAAAGACCGCCAGGTAGTTAACCCGAAGGCTAATGGTTTCAATCCTTTGGAATTCATGTTTCTGAGTAAATTTCAAGCATTCTCCAATACACGCAGACCAATCTGTCGGACTACAGCTATCTCAGACAGTCTCAATAAAGAATACATTTGAACAGACATCTTACATATGCAGAACATTTTACTGAAACGGTTGTTTCTAAAGTACTGTTATATAAACACATTTATAACCTCTTTTTAGTCGCCAGCCATTAGTATACACTTTACTATCGAGAAATGACAGTTTATAGATATCCAAAACATGTCGAAATTTCATGATCTGAAAATGATATTTAATCCAAATGAATATGGGACAAAATAATTTCTTTTAATTGACATTCTGCTAATAACAGCTAACAGCTTCATCAAAGTAAACTGGAATTTACAATATCCAAGCTAGTATTTATAAATATGGTCACTTGATACGCGTTTTGTCAAAATCGACATTGTGACCTGAAATTACAGCACGTAGAGATATGCCTGAAGCGTTTTGAACCACTTCAGCTCTACTGAATTCCTAGTGGTTCGGGTGGATGACCACAGGTGTTCACTTTTTGTTCATTTTGATTTCACGTGGAATTTGCCATATGTACTGAGAATATGTGAAAGCAGATGTAATGGAAGTGAACTCTCGAAACCGTCAACTGGAGAATCAATAATCTACTCCGATATTGTTACTAAGACGACAACCACGAGAACACTGAGTTTTGGAGTGGCTATCATGATGTCCCCAACAGCATCAAAGGCTCTCTCTCATGCAGTGGGAACCAATCTCCTCCACGATCAGGAACATGACAGTAAGATTCAACTTAAAAGGAAGGAAAGTCACAATCATACAATGCTACACTACGCACCTACAAATAATGCAGATCAAGACAAGAAGGAAGAGTTCTACAGACAACTGCAATCAGTACTGGACAAGACTCCACCCCAGTTGGCGATGACGACATCAAAATTCTAATGGGTGCAGTGACATGAATGCCAAAATGGGAGCGGATAACACAACAAGAGAACTCATCATGGGTCGAGAAGGACTCGATGAAATAAGTGAGAATGGAGAACTGTTTGCAGATTTCTGAGCATTCAAGGACTTGATGATTGGAGTCAGGCAGTGTGTACAAACACAAGGATATTCACAAGGCAGCGAAATGGATTTGATTTCACCAGATGGATACACTACACACTAAAAATCAGATCGAATTCATCTCAATCTCAAGAAGGTGGAGATGCAGCCCACTGGACATAAGGTCAAGAAGGGGAGCAGATGTAGGTTCAAGCTACTCACTATCTAGTGCAAGGAACATTCAAAATAAAGTTGAAAGCCTTCACAGAAGTTGGTGATAGACCACAGTTCAAGTTCAACACCCAGAACAGAAAGTGAACTGAAGGACGAAGCTTCAAAGGGCATCTTCACGTCAGTCAGCCATCAGGACAAAATGGGAGACATTGAGCAGCATTCCTGAAGAAACCTGCGTGGGAGAACACTGGAACTCTTTGAAAGAGATGTGGAAGGAAGGAAGGAAGAGGAAACAAAACAAGGAATAGAATGGATCTCGACGGACACATGGAATTTGATAAGGGAGGGAGAGAGAGATGGTGAATGAAGCAGAGGATGAACCAGTGCAAGGATGAACAAAGAAAAGAGGACCTGAACACAACCTATAAAACACTGGACAAAAAAGTAAAGAAGAGTGCACGAAGAGACAAAAGACACTTCTACGACACACTTGCAAGTGAAGCAGAACAGGCTGCTGGTGGGAGAGACTGAGACCAGACAACATGATATCAAATAACCAGGTGACTGACTATCTGAGAAGAGATCAATGCAGATGAAGCCAATGAGAGATAGTGGAGGAAGGCTAGTTACCAAAGAGGAGAAACAAAGGAACCAATGGGCTGACCACTTCAAAAAGCTCTTGAATCGACCACCAACACCTGCAACTCGTCCAGAAATACCACCAGCAACCCAGTCACAGAATTACCACTGAACACAAGTCCTCCGACAAAAGTCTAAATCCTGAACGCCATAGAGTCGCTGAAATCCTCGAAAGCAGCAGGACCAGATGGAATTCCACCAGAAGCACTGAAAACAGACGCAGAGACAACAGCAGCAGACATGCTCACACCACTACTGCAGAAGGTTTGTAAGGAAGGAAGGAAGGAAAGTTACCTTTCGATTGGAAGAAGGGCTATCTTGTCAAACTCCCAAGGAAGGGAGACCTAAGCTTTTGCAGGAACTGGCGAGGAATCATGCTCCTGTCCACCCCAGACAAAACATTAGGCCGCATCATCCTGGAGAGACTAAAAAATGATCTGGATTCAAAATTACGACCAGAACAGGCTGGCTGGCCTCACAAAGAACAAATCATGTGTGGATCGAATTGCAACGCTATGCTACGCATCATCACAGAACAGAGTATGGAATGGCAGTCAACTCTCTACCTCAACTTCTTCGACTTTGAAAAGGCCTTCGACAGCATCGACAGAGAAGTAATTTGGCAGACAGCTGCTTCAACACTACGGTTTTAGTGCCACAAACCTTTGTCAACCTCATTCAACAACTATATGACGACACCATATGACAAGTGATTCACATTTGAATGCTCAGTGACGCCTTTGAAGTGAAGTGAAGTGAAGTGAAGACAGGAGTAAGACAAGACTGCCGCCTACCATCGTCGATGATCTTCTTGATTGTGTTGGACTGGATCATCCAGCAAACTGTGACGAACGAGAAGATGGGTAATATGCTGGCTGGACCGATGAAAAGACCCCAGAAGAAGATTTGGATTTCGCCGATGATGATTTGTGTTTAATGTCTTGTCGCGCAAACTCGAAGATCTACAGGCAAAAGCCAACAAGTTGGCAGAAGAGATGAGGCAGCGAAGACGGGACTTCCTTCACGTGAACGTAGAGAAGACAGAGGTGATGAGGATACCCGACCAACGACAACAATGACAACAGCAAGCACCAATCACCATGAACGGGAGAAACCTAAAGGAAGTAGTTTCTTTCACCTACCTAGGTAGCATTGTTTCAACCACAGCCGGTGGCGGTGGTGGTGGTGGCGGTGGCGGTGGCACAGATGAGGATGTCAAAGCGAGGATCGGAAAACCAAGATAGGCCTTCACTAGTGTGAAATCAGTGTGGGGACCGACTGGACTCCACTCAGCATAAAGAACAAGATCGGGATTTTCAACGCCAACGTCAAGTCAGTGCTTCTATGTGATGGTTCCGAAACTCGGGGCGTTACGAAAAGCACTTCCAACAAACTACAGACATTCATCAACAGTTGCTGCCTACGCTCACTCGATACTGAAGATCAGATGGCCAGAATAATAAGGATAAGCAACAAGGAACTCTGGCTGGCTGGCAATGGACCAACGAAGAAAGAACCCATCACCCAACGAACATGCAGAAGAAAGTGGAGATGGATTGAGCATACACTGAGAAGACCGATCGGGGACATCACGCGTCAGGCCTTCGAGTGGAACTCAAAGGGGAAACGACGAGTTGGGCGTCCCAGCGCTGAGGGTGACATGAAAGGGATCATGTGAGGAGGAAATGAAAGCTTGTAGGCAGTGGTGAAGCCAGGTTAAGAAGACTGCAGAGAACAGAGTGGAATGGATGCGTGCTACTGAAGCCCTATGTTCCACTAGGAACCCAGGGGACAAATAATGAGAAGAAGAAACAGCAGTAAAGACATTTGGCAACCTACATCCGAATGTTAGAGAATGTGAAATCTAACTCCAACTGGGTTTGATCACGATGAAGAGCGAAACCAACCTAGACGTCAGTTGACCAAGGTCTTCGCGTCCATCGTGAGGAGTGGTGACTGACGAAAGCGAGGGGAACGGAGAAGGTATCAGTGTTGGGAAAACTCAAGTGTTCAGGCTTATTAGAAATACTGAAGAGAAGAAAACGATGCTTAGTGAGATCACCACCGATTAGGATTGACTCTGATTACCACCCAGGATAGGCGACTACAGCGTTGACCAGAACACTCTGAAGCGGAGTTCAAATGACCTATGGAAATGCCTCTATTATCCAGCATATAGCCCAAACCTGAATTGGAAGTACATGTCAATCGTTTAACTTACCTGAAGTTGAGGAGGCTGTTCAGAACCTGAAACCATGCAAAGCAACAGCCCTGACACTTCGCCCACCAGGACGTTTTAAGGAAGGTGGTGGGAAGTCACTGAGATGAGTAACAAAAATACTAGGTAGCATATTGAAATCAGAGATAGTCGTACCACACTGGACTACTTCATTGATCATTTTAGTCTATGAGAAAGGAGACAAACATAGCAGTCATTTTGGTGAACATCTTGTCCAAGATACTTGGATCCATAGTCACACAGAGTTTAACGGGAGCTCGAGAACAGCTGACTCGAGTAAACTAGAAGGGTTTCAGATGTGAACGAAGGTAAATTGATCAGCTTTTCACCCTCCGATAGGTCCTAGAACTCAGACATACTTACCAGGAGACGATAATTACCATATCTCTTGACTTCAAGGTTACGTGCGACTCTGTCGACCGAGAGGTGTTGTGGCAGCGTTTAACAGTGAAGGGATTACCAAGAAAGTTTGCAAAATTGATCAAAGCCCTGTGAAGAATCGGAGCTGATGACAACAATTAATGT